GAAACCAAGGGGCACTCGGAAGCAGGATCATAGCAGCATCTCCTGGCTGCACACTTTCCTGTCTGCAGTTGCTGCTGCTGGCATCTTTTGCACCAGTCCTCTGCTGAGTGTGGCTGCTTTGCCTACCCCTGGCAGATCGCAGAACTGGTCCCTGACAGACCGCAGACTTGGTCCAGCTTTCAGCTTCATGCTTGCTGGTTCTCTGCATATGGGTGCCAACAGTTATTCTCCCACCAAAACCAAACATATGGAGAGAAGCAATTTTTAAAAAAGTAGGGGCCTGTTTAAATGGGAAAATAGATTCTGGGCAGGCACATGTTACCGAATGACTCCTGCCGTGGGGCAGCCAGAGCACAGTACCTGGAGTGTGGAGTGATTAGCAAGACTGTGCTTGAGAATGGAAGGACAGAACAAGGATGCTCACCCAGCCAGGTCATGGAGGGCCTGTGCCAGACGGAGACAGGGTCAGGATGCTGAGGCTTGGAGCCCATGGTCGGAGCCAAGCATGGCAGGTGGAGATTGAGAAACCCTGGGGAGAGACTTGTCCAGGGTCCCACAGAGACCAGGGCAGGGCTGGTCCTCAGGCTCCAGGCTGCCTCCTCCACTGCCGGAAGTAGGTATGTGGGGGAGAGTAGGTGGTTGTTGAACGTAAGAGAAGTATATTCTCAGGTAATAACTGAGAAAGAGGCATTCCTCCTCGGGGAGATGGGTGAGAAACAGGACGTCAACAACTGGAGAGGAATAAGGGGCAGGGCCTGTGACAGGAAGTGGTGTGGTAGGAGGGTAAGCGTCTTCGAGAGACCATGAATAGAGTGGATGGCAGGGCTCTGCCCTAAGAAAGCATAGTGGTAGGAAGTGTGTGTGGTTTTTTTCTTAAACAGAAAGTACAGTGAAAACAAGCTTCTGAACAAGGCGGCTGGAGAGCCCAGGAGAGGTGGGTGGGAGAGGAGAAGCCTGAGCCTAAGGAGTCTGGAAAGTCCAGTTGTTAAGAGTGGCTTTGATCTGCCCACACAATACAGTTTCTCAGTGGTACTCAGGAGGGCCTTGGTGGGGAAAATGTGAATTGTTACTTTCAGAAGGGAGGTGGGACTTCCCACTGTGTCACACTAGTGGACAAGGTGGCTCCTGCCACTGAAACGTTGACGCTCAGTCAGTGAGATTACCAGGTGCCTATGTTTCCCAGGGAAGGAGCTCTGCTAGCGTATTGGTTACGAATCAGGCTGCTAACCTCATGGTCACCAGTTCCAAACTACCAGCAGTTACACGGGAGAAAGAGGAGGCTTTCTGCTCCCGTAAAGATTTACAGCCTCGGAAACCCTGTGCAGGGTCACTGAGTTGGAACTGACTTCACGGCACTTAACCACCACCACCACCACTACCGTGTGTCCCAGGGCATCCTGGTGTGGCGCTGATTGGTGGTTCAAACCTAGCAGCCTCTCCAAAGGGGTAAACTCAGTAGATTTATTTTAAGGCGCAAGATTGGGTTTATTGTGAAGAAATCTGGTGAATGTTGAAAACAGCCTTGGTGAGAAAAGTCCCAGGAAAATTGTGCTAAGGAATCTCTTTCTTCTTTTTTTTAAGTTTATATTCAGAGTTAAAAATATATATATTTTACTATAAATCGAGTACCGATTTACAGAGAAGTTCCTCAGTTTGTGCTGTGACAAAGTATACACATTATTTTGTTTCATCTTATTGAGTGAAATCCTCCCATTGTGACGTCACTTATCCCCCTTCTTCCTGGAAACTGTACAGGGTTGCTGTGAGTTGGCACCAACTGGACGGCACACAAGAACAGGGAAGTTTCCTGGAGTTGGGTGCTTTGGGGGTAGAAAGCATTCCCCTCAAGGTCAAGGGCAAAGCTTGTACAGCATAGCCGGCTACCATAGTCACATGCCCTGAAGAGCTTTGCATGGTGTGGAAGTGAAAGAGAGCACTGAAGCCATGGTAAAAGTGCCGTCTGTATTGGTGATGGTCATCTGTATTGGTGATGGTCATCTGTAGGCAGAACTGGGAGGGAGGAGAGGAGGCAGGAGAACCAAGGCACAGAGGCAGAGACTACTGCCCCACTCACTCCCGACCAGCGGTCTCTCCATGTGACTCCTTGTCAGCCATGTCACCGTTTTTTGCTTTATCCATTCACCATGTATTTATCTTTACTAATAACCTTTGTCATTTAAATGACTTGATTTCTTTTTAACTGAAACAGTTTCACCCCCACTGTTGTAAGTGTGATTGTAGTACTCTTTGTTGTGAGCGGCTCTAATTTTTTTTTTTTTTAAATAAATGTTTTATTGTGAATTATATGATAGTTTACATGGGAGAACATTAGTTTTACATTCATCCTATTGTATATGGTTTCATTGCCATGGTTACAATCCCCTCCATGAATCATCAACCAACCAAAGGGTATACCCTGCAAGCCTGCCCCCTGGTCGTCAGCACACAGCCCCTCTCCCTCTCTGGATCTCAAGTCCCCAGCCGCTCCATCTGTCCATGTCATCATCTCTGCCTCCATCTCAGGCATCACTGCTTCTCTGGGTAGGGTCCCGCTCTCCACTCTTCTCTGTTGATGGTCCTAGGGACCTCCGCTCCTAGACTGGAGGTTAATCACTCCCCTCCTTGCTATAACACATCTACCTTTACATTTCCAACTCTCACAATCAGTCCTGATAACAGTTATTCACTATTGTATCACAAGAGACCCATCTGCATTTCATTTCATCAGCCCCACCTAGAGCCTAGACAGATTGGATACTACTCACTGGAGATTGGAGATTCTACCTTCCTCCACGCCCTCTGGATCTAGGTTCCCTCTTGAAAGCTTGTAAGCCAGTCACTTCTTTTCTTTGCTCCACCCCCCGCCCCCCCATTTTGGGTAGCCAATGTCCAAGTTGCCCATCCCTGTCTACTCTGTGTGTGGAGAGGGTGGGAAGGATTCTTGCTGTAAGGATTTGTTCCCTCTTTTGAGCTACTGCATCCATAGGTGTAGGTCAAGTTCATCAAATTGTATCCGATTATGCTTTTTTCTTCTTCTTCTGGTTGAGATCTGATCATCCAGTCATTGAAGTCAGGTCAAGTGGGTATTATCTGCAAGTGTGGGTGTTCTTGTGCATATGCCCTCTCTTCTTATCAGCTGGACGCTTCACTCTCCACTCTAGTCCTCTGTGGCTATGTCACTGACTCTGGGCCCAAGAGTCTCCAGGTCTTGCCACACTCCTGGCCAACCAGGTCTCCACCAGGGTTCATTGAACATTGTAGGGCTTAGCTCGCTGCTTCATTGCTGTTTTTCCCTCACTTCCCCTTAAGGGTGATGAGCATGGTCACCAATCAGAGCGTGTATTCCCATTGAGTCTTAGTCTTGGAAGAGGGTTTGCACTGAGGGGACCTGACCACTTGCCTTATGTCTCCTGGGCAAGCAATTTGCTTGTTCTTGTAGTAATAGTCGATCTGCCTCTATTGTTTTGTATTTTTCCTGTAGGTCTTTCTTTCAAGAAGTATCTTCTGTTCTTTGAGCCGATGAGCGGCTCTTTTGAAGCGTGTTTCTGAACCTATGTTGTAACTGTCTCCCTGACATGACCGTGTCTTCCACTGTCTCCAGCTGCTCTGACACTAAACGTGACTTGTAGCCAGTAAGATGAGAAGTATCTTCTTTCTGTAAGTCAGGCCATCCAGATAAAGCTCTGCCATCATCCCTGCCCCTTCTTGGCGACGACCTGGGCAATCATCTTTACATACATACATATGGTGGCGCTGTAGGACAAGTGTGGACTGCTAACTACAAGGTCAGCAGTTCAAACCATCCAGAGAGTTCTGTGGGAGGAATGTGAGACTTGTCTACTCCTGTAAAGATTTAGTCTCGGAAACCTGATATGGGTCCCTATGAGTCAGAACAACAACAAATTATGTATTTAGAGGAATGCTGCAGTATTTGGGGAGGGAGGGTTTGTTACTGTTTTTTTTTTTTTAACATAAATATATCACTTTGTGTTTTTCTGACATTTCTTTTCCAGAGTAATTTTCCTAAGATGCAGATCTTTTAAGATTAATTAGTGGTTAAGTATTTTCATAAGTTAAAACAGTGGGAGCAGTAGTACACACTGTTGGTTGACAAACACCAGTTCAAAGGCAATTCAAAGGTCAAAGGGTAATTCCAAGGCACTGAGCTGCTCATGCCCCTTCTCTGCTTTCAGCTCCGTCCCTAGGAGGAAGGTCATCCCTCCCTGGCCCACAGAGCTTTGAGTGATCTGCCCTCCTATGGGTCTCTCAGCCCTTGCACCTGCATCCCCTGAAGTCTCCTAGGTTCGATGACCTTCCTCAGACTGGTGACCCTGGTCAGTGGTAGCTGGCCTTGTCCACCCTGGGCTGTGAGCTTCCTGTTGGTGGGGCAGCCTGGGGGCCGGCTGGAGCACAGGTGCGGGAGCCCCATTATCTGGGTCCTCACGCCAGCTCTGCCAGTGCCTAGTGGTGCAACCCTCTGAGCGCCTCAGCCTCTTTACCTGGAGGAGGGCGTCAGGTGCGCCCTGTGAGACGCTCTTCCCCACTGTTGACCAGTAGTATCCAGCACAGGGTTCAGGAGATGGATGTGTGTCCAGTGGCAGGAGAGAGGATTAAAGATACACATAATCCGTGTGAAGATGTGCCTGGTCCTGGGGATGCGAGCTGAGGGCAGTGGGACTCAATGCAGGTTCTGAGCACAGTGAGCTGTGAGGGGTCAGGCGCGAGGGAACCTAATCAGTGTGTGGAGGGGAAACAGCCAGCAGCTGTGAGTAGAAGGTACACCACAGGAGTCTCACTTACCTCCCAAGGCCTGTGTCCTCTGTGTCTGCAACAGCCCTAGGAGGTGAGAAGCCATACAGCATTGGTATTCTCCCAAGAGAGCCAGGGCCTTCACCCCTGCCTGGCTGTTCTGTCTTCTGTGTTCAAAAACGATGGAATGACTAAAAGGTGCTATGCATTTCTGATGAAGCTCCACACCCCTTTTTGCTTTTTATTTGCAGGCAGTGCTCCTGTAGAGAAGTTGGAAGACTTTATCAACAACATTAACAGTGTCTTGGAATCCTTGTACATTGAGGTCAAGAAAGGAGTCACAGAAGATGATGGGAGACCCATTTATGCTCTGGTAAGTGCAAGACAAATAGCAGTGGCTAAGTGCTCACCTGGGAACCCACCAGTCACTGTGTGGGAGGAAGCTGTGCAGTCTACTCATAAAGACTGACAACCTTGGAAACCTTGTAGGAAGTTCTCTGCCCTGTAGGGTCCCTGAGTCAGAATGGATTTAAGTGCAAGACAGCACCCTCTTGTGGCATTTGTGAGGAAACACAACAAGTGTGTGTTGATATGAGCTCTCCTTATGAAGAGTGAAGGTGTACCTGGTGTCAAGGGTCTGAGATGAGGGGGAAGAAACTGAAACGGGGCCAGACCAACTCTCTGTCCTTACAGGCACCGGGCTCTTGATTATTTTGTCTTTTGTGTTTCCTTAAGTACATGAGGAAATCAAGACAAATGACCCATGTTCAGGGTCACCGAGTTGTTTGGGTCTAGTCTCTGCACCACACGGCACCTCTGCCCATCCAAGACCCAGCAGTGTGTGGCCAACTCTGGTTGTCATAGTTCTCCATAAGAAGTCTCCCCACAGACTAAAGGCACTTTATTCTGAGCCAGTGCATAGAAACTGGGGCAGAGACTGCGGAAGCACTGGGCCTCGCTGGGGAGGGACCACCCTTGGGCTTGTCTTAGGAGATTGGGTGGTTGTTGCCCACCCACTCCTAGGCTCCTGCTGACCTGGCCCTCACCTCACTCAGAAAGGCGCTCTCTAGCCCAGAGTTTCGCCCACTGTTCTGAGCTGACTGGGGCTATGCACTGAGGCACCATAGTGGTGTTGGATAAACGAGGGACAGCATGTTTCTGTGCAGCAGCACTGCCCAGTGCCACAGTCTCACACTGATCTGAGTGTGGAAGGCACTGCACAACCTTAGAAGCTTTAAAGTCTGAGAGCAGGCATGTCGGCTGAGCTGGAGAGTACACTGCTTACAAACGCAGCCCTGTGCCCTGCTTCCTCACAACTGCACAGTGTGGTGACAAGGAGAGGGAGGGAGGGCCTACAGATGAATTCTGCAACAGGTACCTTCATGCTGACTTGGTCTTTTAGGTGAATCTCGCAACAACTTCAGTTTCCAAAATGGCTTCGGATTTTGCAGAGAATGAGCTGGACCTGTTTAGAAAGGCTGTAAGTACAGCAATTCCCATTGCTCACTGGCCTGGCTTCTTATGTGAAAATTCTATATTCACCATTAGAAATGGATGCTACAGTATTAGGAGGGTCAAAAGCCCTTTTTTCACGGAACTCACAGCTTCTCGTGATGGGTGATTTCTGGGAAAGAAAGCTGTCCCAGGCTCCCGGGCCCCTTGCTGGCTGAGCAGCCCCAGGGCCTCATGGTATGTGATGGTGTAGGACACAGTGGACCAAGTGGTACTCCTGGCCACCCAAAAAGAGTGTGTCCTGCAACAGTGGCATCAGCATCTCTGCTGCTTCCTGGTCCCAGCCTCCTCAGATCTGCATGAATCCTAATCTGCATGTTAACAAGTCACCCTTCCCTAATCATTTACACCTGCACAGTTGAACCATACTGATTTTTCAGGCTTCTAAACACTTCTTTCTGCCCTTCTTGCCCATTCCCTGGCTGGGCATCTGGCTAAGACAGTGCTTCTCAGCCCTGGGTGCATACGTCATACCTGAGCAGCTCAAAATAATTCAGATGTTGGGCCCCCCATTCCAGATCTGCTGAGTGAGAATCTCTGAGGATGAGGCCCTGAAGTCAGTGCTGCTTCAGTTAGCCTCCCTGGAGGCTCTCTGTGGTCAATGCTGAGAACCAGTGTGTGTGGAGGAAGCCTGTCCTTCCGCAGCCCCCACCCTGCTCTGGACAGAAGCTCTAGAGGAGCTTGGCTGTCAGCCCACGAGAAGGTCGTGTGTGAGCTGCCCTCTCCACCTCTGGCCTGCCACCATGCTAGCCCTGAGGTCCTCTGTAGGAGGAAGGAGAGGTGCTGCCTCCTTTACGGAATCAGTTATTGTCCAGTGCAAGAGAAGTGAGGTGACCCTTCATGCTTTGGGGAGGTTGGATGGTTTATTTGGGATGCAGTTACAGGAGTGTATTGGACACGCTGAGGACTCTAGGTGTATTGATACCCTTGTTGGCCTGTGGTGCAAGTGCCCCAGTTTGCACCCTGCCAGCATTTGTAGTTTCACTCCAAAGTTGATGTCCACTTGACAGATGGGCATGATATGTGCTCTTTTTTTCTAGCTGGAACTGATTGTTGACTCTGAATCTGGCTTTGCGTCTTCCACAAACATTTTGAATCTGGTTGATCAACTTAAAGGCAAGAAGATGAAAAAGAAGGAGGCTGAGCAAGTGCTGCAGAAGTTTGTGCAAAGCAAATGGCTGACTGAGGTACCTCTTCTGCTTTCCCGAGTGTGGCTCACTTCCTAGACTGAATCATGACTGTTTTCCAAAATCACGTTGAAATCCAACTGAAGTTTCTTAAACCAGACCCTTGCAGCTCTGTTGCCTGCTTCCCTGCCCACAGCAACCCTGTGAGGAAGATGAGAATTCCCTTACCTTCCCCCACCCCACCCCTGCCGGCTCACTCACAGCATCTGTTCAGGGCCCCACAGCCAGGGTGGTGTTGCCAAGACCCACTCGGGTGTCCAGGCTCCAGGATTGGAGTCCGTGGTCCACAGATCATGTGGCAAGGTGAAGAGCATGGACTCAGCCCTTGACCTTGGGCTCCCCGTCTGTAAGAGGAAAACAGTGGTGTTACTTTAAGGCCTGGACCAGTAGAAGTGATACCACAGCCAAACCTGTTTGAGTTGATTCCTACTCATGATAACCCATGTGTTATAGCATAAGTACTCTGTGGGTCATTCTTGGCTATAATCTTGTGGATCACCATGCATTTCTTCTATGGCACCACTGGGTGGGTTTGAACTGGTAACCTTGAAATACTACACCCACTTGTCACTTACTGATGTAGTTAGGTTCCAAAGACCAGGCTATTATGCCAAAATCACCAGTATGCAAAAATGGAGGGTGATCATGCCATTACATTGAGTCCTGGTGTGCCAGTGAACGATAAACACTTTGCTGCAAGGTTTGAACTGAAAGAATGGTAGTTCAGATGCACAAGAACACTCAAACTTGCAGATAGTACCCATGTGACCTAGCCTCGATGGCTTGATAATCAGAACTCGACTAGAGGAAGATTAAAAAACAAGCAAACTGAAAAAAAACAAAACCCCACAATTTTTGATAAAGGAAACAAGGGTAAATTGCTACAATTTGATGAACTACACCGATACTCATGGAGGTAGTTACTCTAAATATCAACAGAGAGGGAAGGAGTCTTCACAACAAGTATCAATGTTATCCCTTGTGTACACAGGGTATATAGGGACGGGCAACTTAGACATTGGCTATCTAAAATGAGGGGGCAATAAAGGCACCAAGTGACTGGCTTATAGTTTTCAAGAGGGAGTTTAGTTTAAGAGTATGTGGGGCAAGATAAGAGTCCCCACTGAAGAGTTTTCATCTTGTTTAGATGGGTCTGGTAAATAAAAAGAATGGTAGTTCAAATCCACTATCCGCTCCTCGAAAACTCTTGAACAGGGTCACTATAATTAGGAACCGACTCAGCAGCACTCAACAACAATAGCAACATACCATTAAATAACTGCAAAAAATTACATCATTACAGAACTGCCAAGCCCAGCCAAGCAGACACTTAACCTCTTTTTCTTTTTTAACTTTTATTGTGAAATGAGTGAAGGTTTACAGACAAGATCATCAGCTTTACATTCAACAAACTATATACTTTGTTTCATCTCAGTGATTACAACTCCCTCCCTACTAACAACAGTTACCCTACTTCCTTATGGCTCCCTACTTACATCTTTTTTTTTTTTTTTTAAGCTTTTATTGTGAATTGAATGAAGGTTTACAGGACAGATCCTCAGTTTTACATTCAACAAATCATTGTAATGATTACATTCCCCTCCATATACCATCAGCTAACAGTGCGCTATGGGTCGGAACCGACTCGATGGCACATAACAACAACAACAACAACAACAGTATTTACCTCTATTACCTTTTTTTTTTATATATACACACACCACATTGAAAAAATATATATTTGTTGAAATGTCCAAAGCACACATTTTGCCAGCCAGCTTCCTGCTTTTCTCATCCATGGGCTTACAGTCCACTCTCTGTGCCGTCACTCCTGCCACCATCTCTGGTGTTGCTACTTTTCTGGTTAGGATCCCTTGCTTCTCTCATGCTCTTCCTGATGGTCTCAGAGTTCTCTGTTCTGAAATAACAGATTAACTGCTCCCCCTTTTAGTTACATACACCTCTTTTATAGTTGTGACAATCACCATTAGTCCTGATAACAATTACTCATATTTGAATCGTAAAAGCCTATCCCCATCCTCACCAGACCCAACTGAACAAAAGGAAAACTATTCAGTGGGGATTCTATCTTACCTCCCCTCATTCTGACACTAAGCACACTCATGAAAGCTTGTAAGCCAGCCATTTCATGCCTTTATAGCCCCCCAATTTTAATAGATGAAGTCTAAGGTGCCCATCCCTATCAACCCAGTGTACTGAGCAGACAAGCTTGATCCTTGATATGAAGAATCCTTCCCTTTCATTTGGAATTTTGGGCAACTTCATTCATAAGCAAAGATTCAGTTTATCAAGTTGTAGCAATTTATGCTTGTTCCCTATATCAAACAATTTCTTTTCATCTGATCGAGTTCTGGTCAGCAAGCCATCCAAACTAGGTCAAAGTGGATACTATCTGCAAGTTTGGGAGTTCTCACGTTCCTTCCCCCACTTCAGACCAGCTGATCACTTCACTCTGAACTCTTGTCTTCCAGTGGCTCGGTCAGTGTCCTTGGGCTCTGGAGTATACATATTTCCCTGAACTTGAACCAGCCAGCCCATCCTCTTCTCTCTCATCTCAAGGTCACCGGTGTTTATGGAACATGACCTTGAACTCAGCCCACATCGTCATTGCTGTATGTCCCCCACTTCCACTCACAAGTTGACCATGGCAGTCACCAGCGAGAATAAAGGACTATACATGTGTTCCCTTTGCGTTTCAGTCTTAGAAAACAGGTTTACCCTGATGGGCTGACTTTTCTGGCCTTGATGGCTCCAGGACAAACAGCTTGCTTGATATTGTCACAGCTGAACAGTCTAGTCTGCTTCCAGTCATCTGTATTTTGTCCACTGTTGTTTGTGTATTTTTAACAATGTTTGATAGTCCTGAAATGCCATGTATTAGAGCCCTTAAGTTTGTCCCTATTTTTTCATTGATGAATCTTTATGGTTCTGGGATTTAGAGTTAGATCTTTAATCCATGTTTAGTTCGTTTTTGTATTTGGTGTGAGATTGGGGTCTTGTTTCATTCTTTTACAAATAGATTTCCAGTTTTGCCAGTACCACTTGTTGATGAGATTAGCTTTTCCACATTTAATGTATTCTAGCCCTTTGTCAAAGATCATTTGTTTGTATGTGGATGGATTTACTTCTGGGTTCTCAGTTGTGTTCAGTTGATCTATGGATCTTTCATTGTACCAGTACCAGGCTGTTTTGACCACTGTGACCATATAGTAAATTTTGAAATCAGGGAGTGAGAGGCTTCCAACTTTGTTGTTCTTCTTCAGCAGTGCTTTGCTTATCCGAGGTTTCCTTCCATATAAAGTTTCGTGATTTTTTTTTCCATGTCTTTAAAGAATATTGTTGGAATCTGGTTTGGGATTTTGTTATTTCTGTAGATTGCTTTGCGTAGTATTGACATTTTCACAATGTTATGTTTTCCCATCCATGAGCATGGTGTATTCTTCCAAGTCTGTAAATCTCTTTTGGTTTCTTATAGTAGTGTTTTGTAGTTTTCTTGTGCATAGGTCTTTTGTTTCTCTGGTTCGATTTATTGCTAAGTACTTCATCTTTTGGGTGGTTATTATAAATGGTTTTGTTTTCCTAATTTCCTTTTGAGATCTCTATTGGTATAGAAAAATCCAACTGATTTTTGTACGTTGATCTTATACCCTGCCACTTTGCTGAATCTTCCAGAATGAGTTCTAATAATTTTCTTTCTGAGTCTTTGGAATTTTCGGTGTTTCTCTATTTGGGATTTTCTGTATTTGCAGAAGATCATATCATTTCAAAATAGAGTTTGACTTCTTCTTTGCTAGTTTGGATACCTTTAATTTCCCTTTTTTGCCTTGTAGCCCTGGCTCGGACATCCAACACAATATTGAATAGGAGTGGTGATAAAGGGCATCCTTTAGACGCCTAATCTTAACCATCGCAGTGAACATTTCTCTAGCTTTGCATTTTGGCATTCATTACTACCAAACATAGTTTAATGGGAAAAAAACCGAACAGTTGATGTTTTACTATTGTCATAGCTACAAACTACTGGATAATGAGATAGTAAGTGAAGAGTAGGTATAGTTGATCGTACCAGTCGGGTCCAAAGAAGTGAGACTGGGTGTAAAATGCTCATTTTTGGGTAACTGGCATATGTAATTTTGTTGGTAAGTATTGTCAAGTAGGTTTCAACTCAAAGCAGCTGGTGGGCTTGAACCACCAACCTTTTGGTTAGTAGTCCAGTGTTTATTCTACAGCACCACACACTTGTAAGATTCATTGCTCTCATCATTATTGCTCTGTCAGCATTATCTCATTCAGGACCAGTGCGCTTGAAGTCTTTCACTGAGACACAGACCTTTCAGGAGCCACCCTTTTTGCGAAGGAACTGTGGCTGTCTATGAAAGGACCAGAGTGCCGGCTGAAATTCCTGTACCTTTCATGTCTAGTCCTAGTGACAAAAGCAGAACAAATATTCCAACAGGAAACCACTGTTCGCAAGGAACCGCTTCTGTTCATTTTAGGCCCCAACCAGGGCCTGCCTGAGCCTGTCAGCCTGGAACTGCCTCACTTGCTGGTCGGACCTGTGTTCAGAAGCGGCTGCTTATGGCTGATGTGGTCCTTCCCTGCCACCACCCCTGCTGGAACTGCTTTTCACTCATGCTCTTCCTTCTTGCTGGTCCTGGGATTGTCTCCTCCTGCTTCTGAGGTGGCTTCTTATAAACCTAGAGGGGATGTTAAAATGAACCAATCCCAGCCTTAGAGTCCTGTACTCCTTATTTGCATGGTCCCACCCAATCACTTGGTGGAAATTAAGAAGACATTGGATAGAAAAGCCGTATCAAGTCCATTCAGGGTACCACAGCATCTCCCAACCGAGGAGCCAATTCCATGAGAGATTTGGCCGTACACAAGCAACCGCAGAAGCCTGTTTTTCTTTGTTGAAAATACATAACACACAATTCTTTACTGGTGAACAACTTGTTCAGCACTTAAAGCAATTGCTG